AATTCTGCTTTTCTTATGATGTTTTCAGCATACAAGTTAAATAAGTAGGGTGATAGGATGCAGCCTTGCCTGACCCCTTTGGCTATTGAGAACCACTCTGTTTCCCTGAATTCTGTTCTGATGGTGGCCTCTTGTCCTTCGTACAGATTCCTCATCAGGACTATCAGATGTAGTGGCACCCTCATGTCTTTGAGTGCATTCCATAATTTTTCGTGATCTATACAATTAAATGCTTTGCTGTATGTAGTCTATGAAACACATGCTAATTCTTTTTTGGAATTCTTTGGTGCACTCCTTTAGCCATTGTATGTTTGTACTGTATGTTCATAATGGTCCTCTAGATACGATTATCAAAAAATGCCATTACATCAGCCATTTCCCTCAACTTGAAAGTTCACAGATAATAGCAGGAAGAAAGGAAATGCTTATAATAAGCCACCAAACATTAAGAGGTTAACCAACAGTTCTCAAAATATTTACTTTTTAATTAATGCATTTTAAAACTGCAGATTTAAATATTATAATAGGGTCAAGCCAGTAGAAATTTCATCTCTGACAGCAACTAACATGCTACCAAGAAAATGTTCAAACAAATTAAATAAAATATTTTGCTATTAATACATCTTTCCTCCATCAATGTCAAAAGTGTTACTTCTGTTTCCACATATCAAACAATCAGAAGAAAAAAACCAGAGACTTAAGTCCACATAAAAGGCAGAGTTTCATTCATTTTCTCAGTCATATGCCAAATACCTGCATTTGTGTTTGATCCTTGGAGCAGTACTGTCAAGGTCTCCATAACCAGCAAAGCAAGTTGCTTTTGGTCTTCAAATGTACTGTTGTTCTTCGAGTCGCCTAGAAAATAATTTTAAAAACTACAATGAAAGAAAATGCTTTTTATATTTTATAAATCTCTCTCAAACACACACACACTCACTCACTCAGAAATGCATTCCCTTTTGCTTCTACCATCCCTCTGCTTAATTCTGAGGGCCACTCCTATATATGATTTTTGGTGTACAGTTTAGCAACAGAGAATTCAGATGTGGTTTTCAAGGTTATTAGAAGGAAAAGAAGAATGAAATTACATATATTTTGGGAACAGCAACATCTACTTTGGAATAATATTGAAATAAGCATATGTATTTCCCATACTACAACACGAGTGCTAACAAAGAAACAGAACTTTAAAGAAAGGAGAAAAATATATACCTTGATCATTCAGAGCCTGTGTAGGATCTTTCAAAAGAGCTGCATACTTATGTAAAAGGTTCACCATCACCTCTAGAAGTCCCACCTCTCTGAATACATCCTTGAAGATGTAGTCATGTCGTGTAAATTTAAGCAGAGTCTTCATTGCAATGATACTACAAGGGTAAGAAGTGCTGGACTTTAAGAGGATGCTGACACTAATCAGTTCTTTGCAAGGGATGTAATTCAAGCTAAAGACAACGAATTCAAGTATCTCAAAGTATTTGGCCTGTACTTCTGGAAGCTTGGAAATTTTCTCTGCAAACTGAGACAAAGTGTGTTGAGATTCCAGGATGAAATAGTTGGCATTGTCTGCAATGTATATATTTAAGATGGCATCCAGGATAATTCGTGCAAGGTAGCTGGTTTTTGCTTTCAGAAAAGCATTCTGTAGGACAGAGAAGGCTTGGATATTCTTCACATTGTGACCTAGAACAAGAAGAAAGAAACATCAAACAGTTCTTTATGAAAAGATTATTGTTCAAAGCACAGTAGGGACAGTATGCAATTCAAGTCAATATGTGAACTGCTTCTTAACTGAGCTTAGAATTTTAAAAAAGATTTTTAAAAAGTAAGATACAAATTCCTTAATAAATATATATATTCCCTTTTGCAAGACCTCAGGACCAGTTTGCCAACAACTGCAAAGTTATTCCATCTGGAGAGTGAAACAGCTACTATTGGGTGAGCTAAATATATTCCTATTTTTATTTTAGAATCTTCATCTGGTTTTGTAGGGGCAATTTGGTATCAGTTTGATATTGCCACATCTGAAAGTATTGTATGATTTATAAATGTCCCCATCAATTTTGGGAGGCCGCCATGCCCTACTACCATAGCAGAAAATAACTTTCCTCTCTTCTTTTGACATTAAAAAAGCAATGTGTACTGTACACACACCTTGTTTAAGAGGCTAACAGTACTCCCAGAAGCACTATCAGCATTGGTAACAAGGCATCCACTCCCTGATTACCCTGATCCTGACAAAAATAGCACTTCTGGGAGTCTCTGATGAGCACTGTGAGACCCTGAAAGAAGGTATGCACAAAACACAGGGCTTTCTCAGTATTAAGGAGGAGGAAGGTTAGTTTTTGCTGCAGCAATTTTGGTGAACAGATGCAGCACTTGGTGGTTCGGAGGTGGGGAGGGACTGGTATCCAGACTCAAAAAATGTTCCCACTCCTGATCTGTACCGTTGCCTGAAAGAAAAGCTAGTAAAAGGCAGCCCTCAGAATAATCAAGACATGTTGAGAATCTCCAGAAACTAATACTCACAACAGGTACTATAATGTGTTTATTTTATACAAGGTCTGTCATCCTATGAATGTTAGGGATGAATAGTGCCAATCACAGTAATAATATTTTAATTTGAAAAGTCTTGAATTATTAAAAGTAATACAGTTGGCCCTCCGTTTTCATGGGGGATCTGTTCCGGACCCTCCCCCCCCACAAAAACGAAGATTTGTAAATATTCAAGCCCCATAGGCTTGAATGGGGTGTGCCCCATTGATGGAGGTCGCCCCCTGTGAATAAGCAAAACCGCAGACTTAAAGTCTGAGAGAACAGAGGGGCGACTGTAAATCAAAATCAGATTATTCCCAAAATTTTGTTTAAAAATTGCTTTAAAATATAAATATATGTCATAAAGGAAGAGGAACATAGGGTCCATATAAAACTATAGAATGGACTTTGAAAACGTTTCAAGGTCCAAAACACACTGCAGAGAGGGGAAAAAAAACCAATCTGAGACTGCTTTAACTGCCCTGGTTCAATGCTAGGGAATTCTCAGAGGACTGAAAACATTGGTAGTTTCAAGTCAGACTGCTGAGAACATTTAAAGGACTCTAAATTTAAAGGACTCTTCTAGAAAGTATAGTCTCACCTTTGCCTGCAGGCTGGGGGACAGCAAATCCAGGCAATAGAAAAGGTGCCCCTGTAGTAACACCAGCTGGTTTTAATTCATTGACACCGTACGTTGTTAATGAGGTTATCAGATTAACCAAGTCCTTCAAAGCATCCTTAGATTCTGCCTCTTTTGCTTGTTCTAACCTGCAAGATGGGAGAGGGGGAGGGGGAGCAACACAATGCCATTAATCATTTCAAAACCAAATCTGAAACGTCTTTATAAAAATAATC